CCTATCAACTGCACACACACACAAAGACATAGAGGAGGAAAAGACCACCTGCCAAAGAATAACAACAGACTGATGTAGCCTAGCAACAGCTCAGAGACAGGCTTATTAGCTGCAAGAAGAGAGAAGAATGCAAGAGGGAAAACTTTGGCCTCCGTCTCTGCCTCATTCACACGAGCTGAAGGGCACACAGGCTCAGATGCACAAGCCTTATTCCCGCCAACCGTCCTCCTCTCACACCTCTTCAAACATGCCCTGGTTCTGACAATCCAGCATTTTGTTACAGACCATTCATCAGGATGATAAACTAAAACCATTTAGGCCACGCTCTTTCTTCTTCTTCATCATCTGCCAAGGGAGGAACATTTTTAATTGTCAATTTGTTGCTCTGTTTTCTAAGTTTGGATGCAGTTGCAAGTGCTGGGCTAGGTACGCCAACTCCCCAACATAATAAAAGCAGCTTTGCTTAATTGCTCTCTCTCAGTGGCAGTATCTAATGTCTTGGATTTGATAACTGGGACCCAGAAGGCTGAAATCAATGCCAAACAAAGGTTCATGAGGCTGAGTGACAGGCCGGGACAATAAAACCCCTCAAGAGTACAAAGCGTGGGCATTTACAGTTCCTCGGTTTTACCTGAGTGGCCTAGGTGTATTTGAAGAAAACTCTAAAGATTACAATCACCTTTTCACAGCGCGTTCTCATCCATACTCCGACCTTTGATAAAAAGCTCTTAAAGTTCTCCTTATCTGATCTTTTCAGACTTTTTTTTTTCTTTCTATTCCTGCAAAACTTGAGCAATGAATATTTAGGTTATGTGCAACCTCCGAACATGAACAGGTTGATGTGTGAGTGAGGGGGTAACGAACAGAGAGAGAGAGCGGTTTTAAAATGTGTCACAGTCAAAGATAGTTCTCATAACTTTTTCACACTCTCTATAAACATTTACTTTCATCTCTGCATCAGCTGTTTTGCTGCCAAAAATAAAACTTTTATAATGTCTCACTCCATCACCATCACGCTTTTTACAGTCCCTCTCTCGTTCTCTTCCCCGCTCTCTCCCTCTCTCTCTCTCTCTTACTTAGCTCTGCCTCCTTGCATCTCATTTCTCAGCTGACACCAAGAGACCCCCATATTGCCACCTCCACCCAGGGGGAATGTGCATTGCAGCTTCAGTAATTATCCTGCTGGATGGGAAGTGCTGAGGCCAAAGGGGCAAAGCTCGGAGAGCACTATGCCTTGCTGTCAGTGTCACCATCGTGTATGCTAAAAGAAAGTGCAACCCAAATTTAAATAGGTCAGAGACGGAAAGGGCAGAGTGAGGAGAGATTGTGGGGGAAAAGAAGAGATAGAGATGTTAAAAATACAGTGTTCTGTTTTTTTCTTAATTTTTTCTTTTTCCACACAGCAAACTCCCCTCTGAATCAACACAAACCCCCCCAAAAAAATCTCAGCGAACAAGAAGTTACACTGAAAAAAACGGATTATTTTCAGAAAACATTGTCTTGGGTAGGTAAACTTCCAAAGCTCTCTATAATAAATGGGTTCGCTGTGTGTTCACAGATTTATCACGAGGGCCACACTGTCTGACTCTACCTTTGCGTGACGGTACCTCCCTTGACTGCAACTATTCGCACAAATTGTGTTCATGCTGCAAGCTGCCTTCGCCAGTTTTACCATTCAATACGAACTTTCTTTACATTATGTTATATAAGACTCACCAACCAGCTGTGTTCAATTCTTCATTTGGATTGGTCATCACCACGTAGTGTCAACAGCAAGGACAACCAAACACACCAAGTCTTGCTGTCTCCACACGCCAAGCGCCAGTAAAATCATCCGTGCAACTGCATTACATGTTAAGTCAATGCAAAGACGCGATTAGACGCACTACTCCTCAGGTGGCATGAATGACGTGAAGTGGGCGGGAGCTGAAAATGTCTCAACTTGAGCGGATAGTTGTATCGTGATAACCAATCAGCATGAAGGTTGCTCTGCCCCGAATTATAGGATACCTTTTCTTTTTATTACCGAAACCGGAACAAAAAGGAACTCACCTGAAGGCAAGTGAGCATTTTACAGTAGGCATTCACATCTTATTGTAGTATCAACCCTTTTTCTTTATGCAGTGGTTTCTAACGGTGTCTGGGCTAGACTGGTGTGGTTAAGCCCCTCCCTGATGTGCTCAGCTATCAGGTGCTGTTTTTCTAATGGTTTCTTGAAAACTCCCTAGATATAAAAAGACTAAGGCCTTTTGATCGGGCCTCAGCACTGTACTTCCTGTACAGACCTTACTTAAGCAGCACTGTGACCATCAAATTGCCTCTCAACAGTTTCTGTGGGAAGGTCACATAAACATCCAGTAAAGATAACCACAACACATCATGTTTTATAGAAAGGAAGCTCATGGTCTCACAACAGCACATGATGTGGATTGATAACAGCTGTACACGGGTTGTCCAAAAGAAGATACAGAACATCATCTAAAAATGACTCCACACTTGCTAGTATGATATGTTAAGAGAAACAGGCATTTTTGCGTAGTGTTACACAGGCAGTGTAAAATCATCCACTTGCTTAATTCGTGTGAATCTAGACACGTGAATGAATAATATTTTCTCATTTCAATGGTAATCCCTGCCAATTCAACTGGCAGGATCAAGTGATAGACAAAGGTTTTTTTACAATTTACCAGGTCATCCAACCTCCTCACTCATAAGAAGGGGTTTTTCTTTGTTACGTCAGTCTGGACTCTGCAGAGTTCATCCTCACTGACTTGGTTCATTTGCATACAAAAGAAATTACCTTGGATGCAACTTGGCCAGACTCATCTCTTGATTTGAATCTGATTGCCTCTCTTCAAAGAAGACTCAACACCTCAGGTGCTTTCACACCGGTAGCGTGTTTTTTCATGCGATTATTTCGGACATCAATATTTTTTTTCCGAACCTGTATCCTGTCAGTACAAGCATTCACATTAGCGACATTTTTCCATCCTGCAATATTGCCGCATTTATTTTTTCATTACAAGTTTTGCATACTGTGTGTCCACTTCTGACCAATCAGATTGCGTGTTGTTGCGACATCAGATTCACCGGTATATCCAACATGGTCGACCGGCTGATTGTTTACGTTTCGGAGAACAGAGTGCTTTTTGATAAAAGACACAAACATTACAAAGATAACGACCTGAAGGACAACTTGTGGAGAGTCATAGCGTCGGATCTCTCATATGACGATAGTTTGTGTGTTTTAACAGTTTACTAAACGTCTTTGTTTTAACTTTCATCTGTGCTAAGTAACTTTAGCTCGTAAGCTAACCTGTTCAGATACAGCATACCATATGTATTTTCACTATCTCAAACTCAATCACGTTGCTGTCACAGCACTATTAGGTCTCAGTTGTTACCTTACATTTATGGATTATAGTTTAATGTGCTTATCTGGTACTGGCCCAGACTCAGTACATGCTATCATGACAGACAGCCATCTCAACACTGGTGAAAAACAGTCAGTCTGATGTTGTGTCAGTCTTCTCACTTCCACCTGGGATGTGTCTTTTTTCCCCCCTGGAAAGTCGCAAAATCACATCGCGCTTGACGTGTATAGTCAGGCGCGTCAAAATACGCCTCAGAATATTTCGTAATTTCGCGTTGTAAACTTCCGTTGTTCCTGGTGTGTAGGGACCTTTAGACTAAACCAAGACAGCTAGGACAAAGCTAACAGTGTCTAGTATAGAGTCTTGCTTCACCTGACTTGACCCGAAGAATTCAGACATGTCACGAGCTAAACTACATGGAGAGTATTTTCAATGTAAGCTCCTGTTTTGAAAAACTAATAGTAATATCCACTTTTTTTTCTGTGTCAGGTCCACTATTTGTTTAATCACATCACACATAGACATTCCACCTGCAAATTACATGCATAATGGCAAATTTGCATTACTCACACAGTCCCTGTTGAGTCATGATAGATGACTCAGATGCCATATATGTTAATTAAGTCGACATGCTTACACCAAACATAGTTACACAGGTTGGTTTCATAGACAAAATATTAAGATCGTTTACAAGCAGCAAAGATAAAATGTCAAGAGTTCAAATAGTCTTGATTAAACGCATGTTTTTTCTTTCTTTATTATTTTTTTCTTTACTATTCTGACTCTTCACTGTGATTGGCTGAGAGGCACTCTAACATGTTAGTATCCAACTAGAGTACTACCATGCCTCATTGAATCTTATTCCTGAGGTATCTTTGAAACTACAAAGTAATCAAATCCTCATTTTGCTGATTCAGAATGAAGACTTTGTTAAATCTGCTTGCTTTAAGGTAATTTGTTTAAACTCAATATTTGATTTGATGAAGATTAAATAGACACTATGTCAGCACTTACCCAAACTGATGTTCCAAATGAATAGTTTATGACCAAAAAAGGTATTCATAAGAGTTTCTGAGTTGATGGTAGAGTAGTTTTCAAGGCTGCAGGACAGATACTGCAGATATGGCTGAATAAAACATGACTGGTCACACACCTCTGTCAGTGAGTGGGAATGTAAAAACACACATCTCATACCAATCTAGACACTGGTTATCTTGTCAGAGAAAACCAAAAGATGAAATAAAGGTAGCAGCTTGACTTGAGCTGGAAACAAGCATGAGGACAAGGAAAAGGCTAGAAATGTACTGTGAACATACTGTGAGTGTCAGACGGTTTACTTTAACATGAACAAAAGTGAGAGAAGTTTCTCTCTCTTCGGTTTACGGACAGTACAGAAGGAAAGAAAAGCAGCACCTTTGTTGGACTGAAAGCTGGGTTTTACTTTGGACAAGAAGAGCAGAGATGACGTAGATCACTCTGAAGTTTTATCTACTCCAATACAAATCTTTTCATTGATTCCTGTTTTAAAATCTAACCTCAAAGTACTGTTTAAATACTTGAACTCTTTAAAATATGTAGCCATATAGACATTGACCAACACACATAATCACTTTAAATCATGCAAGTTTACTTGTTAGCAGGTTTCACAAACTGGTTTGGGTTGCTGTATCGAGGACCATGAAACACAGCGTTCATTCCTGGACGCACTGCATGATGGGACAAAGCTGTATTGTTGGCAAAGTTCTGGGAAGTTGTGTTCTTTGCTGTAAAAAGAAGAGAGTAGAGTAATCACTGGGAGGAAAGAGGATAGCTCTGGAAACCTCCTGTCTATCTTAAACCTGGATGTGAGCAGTCAGTTTTTTTAATAGCTAATGCCCATCTTTCTATGTAATCACCAGCTGTTAAATACTTGATTCAGATTGGGCGAAACTCCATAACAATGTTAATTGGTTCTGGTAAGTAAGAGCAATGCCAGGGACAACTTGCACACACTTCACCTCAAACCAATCAACAGAGAGAGCAGCAGATTAGAAAAGGCGAGATGAGAAAAACTGAGTGGATGGGACTTCAAATAAATTGAAGAAAACAGATATTAAGCAACAGTGAACCACAACACAGTATGGGCTTTCAAAGTGTCTCTGCACTGGTTGAGTAACACTTTGTAAGTTGGAGTCTACAAAAAGACACGATTAGGGAGAGTTCTTGTTGAGTGACACAAATGATGCGTATATTATCAATAATAATCTTAAAGGCATGTAGTTGTTAATTCACTGATGTGAAGTGATGTATACTTTGTGATATTTTGCCTCCTAAGATCAACAGTTCTCCAGTTTCACTCTAACTTTAAACCATTTCCTTCATTAAACAAGAACAGTCAGTAAACTTTTCAAATGCACCATATTGAATTGTATCCTAATCTGTTTTGTCCTACTCATAAAACACTTTGTTGGCTTGTCTTTTACTGCAGAGCACGGAAAAAAACACACACCCTAATTTAAAATTAAAACAGAAAAAACAATTACCATCCATGACACAGTGCACTGTCCATCATCAATTCTAACGATTACTTGAGACATACAGGATCAGAGCAGCGGCTTCTCCAGACAGGCAGCTGACTGGATTATTGAATTTAGGTTACAACTTTCTTTGATTTTCAAACTGATACTGTAAATCTGAAACTTAATTTGACAGACTGGATGCAGGGATAAATATTTAAACTAATTTACTCGATCTGTGATGTCAAGATAAATTTGATGAGAGCGAGGAAAGTTTTCCAGTCACAAACAAAAGTAAATAAATAAATAAATAAGTAAAAACTAAAGAAAATGTTTGATACAGCCATTTTTGATTTGTTATTTTTGATCTTGTTTGAGGACCTAAGGGAAATGATTGATTTAAAATGTTATTTGGTGGTCCAGTAGAAAAAGACAAGCTCTGGCACTCACAGATAAAGTCGTCATCTAATTTATAGATACTTTCTATGTCAGCTTTCGCCATGTTTTACTTGTCTTGGGCATGCATATATTCATTAAGAGCAGACGCCCCTGGGGAGTTTATGTAAGTGTGAAGTTTCTTGTTCTCTTTCTTTGAGCTGTAACTTTTTCTCTTATAATTTTCTATTCTAATGATACCGCCTCCTCAAGAGTTCAAAGGACTGCTTTCGTCTCTGTGTGCTGGAGTCCGTCTTGTTTCGGTTGTTCACTCATGATGTTTAGGAGCTGCAGAGCACACTACACTGCATATTTTCTGTACAGTCCTGTTTGATCTTTGCTCCTAAACACACTAAAACGCTAATCTGTGCTGTTAAATAAGTTGATTATTCCTATCAATTACAGACCAATCTCAAATGTGCCATAGCGGCACAACTTGTATCGTTGTTGTGTGGCTGTGAGGCTTGATCAAAGACACAGATCACATTAGCGTGTGATAGAGACAAAAAAAAATCTCAACTGCAGCCTCATTTGCATCTTTTAAATAAACCAAATAACATAATTAATGTGACAGTGACATATTATCTCTGAAAACGCTGCATACAGAATTGTTTAAAGTGCCGTGCATAAAGGGTAATAGGACACTCTGTAAGCGTCAGCGCAGTGTTGCAAAATAAATGCGCTTAACTGGTGATGATAGTGATGAATTCTTCATGTGGCCCACCGTGAAACATAACACCAAACCACCCCCCCTCTACACACACACACATGTACACACACAGTGGATAAAGATGCCAAGGTTTTAACTTACCTTTGGCTCTGTTAATGGTAACTCTCTGCTGAAAGGTACAAGGTCTGGCTTTCTCCTGAGGGGCAGCTGCTTGCTTCGTGCCCGCCTTGGCAGCGCTAACCCAGGACCTGGCATTACCACCCACGCCATCTGTACCTGCAACTGCAATATGCACAGCAAGAGGGCATGGATTAGCGCTAAACCCATTCCACATGCACGCCGTCTATCCTGGCCTGTGTCATGTTAAGTGGGAAGCAGAGGGTAAAGCTTAATAGCACTATGTCTTTTTTTTTTTTTTTAGCTGAGGGAATTATCTGCAGTCCCTGCCTGAGGGAATCAACAAAGAGCTATTGAATCAACAGGGTTGATATGAGTAAATTCTATCATATCAGCACTGACTGCAAACTGCTGGAGGACTGCCATCGCTATGGATCATAAATGCACACATATTGAGCAAAGCAGGGCTGCCTTTAACGAAAGTGCACCTGCTGTTGAATCCAAAATGAGCAACAAATACAAAAGAAACCTTTTCTTTTTTATATTCAATTACATTTTTATTAAAATGTGCTCAAATGACCTGCATTATTTATTCATATCGACCAAGAGAAGTAGAGGAATGATGGCCCGGCAACTCTATAAAAACTAAAGCCGTATTAGACCTTTAAATGAACACAGTGCGGTTTAGTTGTTGACTTATTTTCTATCTCCTTCTACTGTTTCTGTTCTGTGCCAGCAGGCCAGAATGCGGGTGTAAATCAGTTTGCTTCTGCACAGTTATCTCCTCATTATGAAAACCTTTCCCACTGAGTCATCCAACTGACAAGGTACTTGTCTGCATCACCATTCAAAGTCACGCTGCCTTCAAAACCTACGCAGAGAGACACAATGTTGGCACGTGCGTAAGTCTGTGGGTGGACTTGTCAGGGATTATGTGTGACACAGAGCACTGGCCTCCGATTGATAAAGATGTTCAGATTTGGCTGGTTTTCGATCAACAGACTCTGGAGTCGTGAAAGTCTCAAAGTCTAAAGCCAAAGTATTTGCTTTGTGTCGGAAACAAAAATGTGATTCACGTAAAGAACGTAAATGGCTGGAAGAAAAGGAGGGAAACTGTGTGAGCCTGATTTTTGCAAAATTTGCTCTCAGGTGCTTCTGTCTCTCCCCTGCCTTTAATTAATCTCGTCTGACGGTGTCATTTATATCAATAATATACTCTCAGACGGGGATACTTGTATGGGTTCGTGCATTGGTAGCTTCAGGGGTATTCAGAATGGCATAAAATCATAGTAATGATCGCCAGATTGTTCAGACAAACAGATAGTAGAGCCAAAGCTGCGCAGACATATCAGGATTATTACCTTTTTGAGTTGCCGGGTTCTTGGCTGTCTTCTCTTCACAGCCGATGTTGGAAGAGCTGCATTGGCGGGTCGAGCCAAACGCTTGAAGGTCCGGCACAGATTTCAGAACTCCTGCACAGATGGGAGATACCTTGTGGGGTATATTTTCCCTCCTCCTCTGATGGGAAGCCCCGCTCTCTTGGCGGTGATTTGGTATGTTAGTAATCCCTCTCTTCTCCTTTGCGTCTTTGGCCTTGGGATACCCATCATGAGATCCACCCATCACCAAAGGCTTCATTGGAGGCCCCAGAGCTGGGAAGTCAGCCAGTAGGTCGTAGGCCTCCTGTTGCGCTGGGGCTGCTGGTGGTAGTTTAGTTTTCAAGTTTGCCTCAAGTGCTTCCGCTCTGCTTTGGACACGAGCCTGCGCATGGGTGGTCATGCTGTTCGCCAGGGTGGCAGTGGGGGCAAATGAAAGGGGAATCTCCCACAGGCCGCGCATCTTCCCAGAGGCTCGAGGCTTCGTGGGACATGGTTGAACACCGACTTTGGTGGTGGGAAGAGGAGGAAAACGCTGCTCTGTGCTAGAAGACGGGGAATCCTGCCCACTGTCAAAGCATAATTCATCAGATGAGTGTTCTTCCTCGCAGTCATTGTTGTCACGCGCTGAGTCATCGCCACTGCTATCAGAGGCGCAAGTTCGCGCCCCAGGTAGAGTTACTGAATCGTCATCATCACTTGAGTTGCTGTCAGAGCTGCTTCTTACACTCAGCTCATCCTCGCTTTCACAAGTATGTCTTGCTGGCTTTAATAGAAGTGGAGGACGTTTCTTCTTCTGCAGGTTTGGGCTGTTGTGCTCAGGGGCAGAGGGGGCCAGATTTTTCGCTGGAGGTTCACATTCAGGTGTGGAGCTCTTTTTGGGTGTTCTGTTGCTGAATTGGGGGACCAAAGTCTTCAGAGGGGGGGGTTTGTCTCCTAAATTCTCCTGAGAAAATAGAAAGGATGACAAAATCTTCATATAACTCCTGTTTTTCTTGTTTTTTTAAAGACTGGGTCAATAAGAACACAGTAAATTGACTCAAGAGACAACTCGACTTTAAGGTTATGTTCCTCACCAAATTTCTTTGTCCTCTTTCCTCCCCCTTGAATTGTTTCATCTGTCCCTCCATCTCAAGGCCTGGCATCCTTGAAGGCTTTGCAACATGTCTGTGGCCTGAGAGATAAGGGCAAGGAAGGATGAAACCAGTGGTGTTCTGCTGCTTGTCCTCCTCATACTGTGTGTACGGACCCAAATCATCGGTCTTTTTCTGCTGCTCCTCACTCCTAGACGGGGAACGGGAGAAAGACACAGACATATGTAGGAGTGTAGCCTGGTTAACACATCTTTTAAACGTGACAGTTCATCAAACCAAAATGCGATTACAAGGTTAGCTTGTTCCTGCTGTCTTGTAAGCAACAATTTTCTGTGAGGAAAGTGAAAGCCTGAAAGCCGAGTCAGACTGTTTTTCATGTCTCAGAATAAAGTCAGCTTTTTAGGGGGAAAATTTCGAAGCAGGTGACATTTCTTTTGGAAGCTGATTCCTATTTTCATCTTTTAGTTTAAGGAAAAGGTCACTCACATCAGGAACAAGCCCGGAACAGGTTTATCTGAGGCACAGTGGGATTAGTCTGCCTTTATATATCATTAAAAGATGGCATAGTATAGCTTTTGGGAATTCAAATTTATTGGGTGGAACATAACATCCTAACTTGACCATTTAACCCCTTTACGATAAAAGCCATTAAGTTAATCAGTAGATACATTTTATTTTTTTATTTTTATAGTCCATTTTAATCAGACTTTAAGTTGAATCTACGATAAAGCTTCAAAAAGCAGCTATCACAGGGCCTGTGGTGCCGTTCTGTATTTGTGGTGTGGCGTGGCACCTTCTTCAAACCATGACTTTTTAATGAGGCTACTCTTTAGTCACCAGCCTGTCGCCTGTCGGGCCGCGATGCAGAACAGACGGTCCAGTGAGACCAGGGACAGTTATGATAACAGGGACGTCACAGAAGCTCCGGGCGGCCGGTGAACAGATGGTGTACATTAACATTATACAGTGGGTCTGTGACCGCACAGTAGTCTATCTGATCTACAATGAAATGTTAAGATCCAGGTTACAGATAGGCCTCGACTTATTAACTATCACTCCGTCAATGCATCTGAAAATGTTCCCATAGGCATATCCATATTAGACAGATAAGTAGTGAAGATGACACAGTGGGAATGCCTAATGAGAAACACTTTGTAAAGCAGCTACAGGTCAACACCAAAGACTGACCTCTGCCCTCCAAAATCCATGCAACAATTTCGTACGTCACCAATTCACCATTTAAATCCAGCTTGTTTTTTTCCCCCTACAATATACAGCCACTACTTTGAGGCTTAAATGAAAAGGTAGATAAACTTCCTTTAAACAGGCTAAAACCTTGAGTAAGAGCAGAAGCACAGATATTGTTAAGCAGCCACCTGCCACAACCATTCATGAATGAAAAGGGCATTTTAAATTGCTAAAAGACATTGATTAGAGTGGCAAGCAATCGCTGTTTTTATGAATCCCACATGCAAGGCACAGTTTTGCCAAGAACTCTGCAGGCTCAAGGCTGTTTTAAAGCAACAATCTAAGTTGGGGCATTTTCAACCAGAAAAACACATTTTTGAAATCTTTATTTTTGATGAGAAATGCCAGTATCAGAGCCAACATGGGTTTGCTTCCAAAGGTTTGTTTAGTTATGCATTTCTGTTTACAACTCAAGACAAAGTTTTTATGGGGTACAAGTTGGTTTAGAAGCTCATATACACAGGCTTTTAGTCCTCATCACAGTGGTTGCTGGTTCAACTCCCAGCCATGATTCTGTAATGCATGTGGTTCACCACTTTCTACTTCCTGCTTTTCCTGCCTATTTAAATTGTCCGATCTAATAAACACAAAAATGCCCCAATAATAACTTTAAAAAAGGGGAGAGGTTTTATTTTTAGTGCCTCATCAAGTCCTCCAACATTTGTATAACTGCACAATACTAAGCACAAACAACAGCCAAAATGATTTTTTTAAAGGTTGCAGTGTCACTCCAAACTTCTCTCTTTCTTTTAATACCTCGTCTAAGAAGAAAATATTTAATCATTTGATATCCAAACACTTTAAAAAACCACCTGCAATTATTAGATTCTTCTTTTAGATGAATAAAAAAGTCAACTTTTTCGTCACCCTAGGGTCACATTATTCAGCTTCTTCATTTTTTATTATTATTGTCTCATATCAGAGCTATGATAGAGCTTAACACATTCTTTGGGAGGGAATCACTTAATATCACACCAAAGAAAAAAATGATGCAGTTACTTGGTCAATTTGTATTTTTACACAAAGGCCCAATGTTAGATCTGATCTGAGTAGTACTTATAAAACCCTACTCATTCAAGGGGATAATCTTTAAGAGTCCCTTTTAACTACCAACAAACGTATTAATTGATTTCAAATAACATAGGCCACTTATCCCATTCAGGGTTTTTGTTGTAGGGAAGCTCCAGTGGTCACTGGACCCCCGTGCATCCTGCTCAGTCTTACCTGTGCCCTGGTTTGTTTTCCTTAACCTTGCAGTCTTTCTTCAGCAGACTCTCAGGTGAACTCTGGCCTCTGCTCCGGCCCTCCTCAGCCTCCTTTGTCCTCTTCCATATGATATGGCAAACACGGTCAAAGTCGTCATAGGGGACGAGTGAACTTATCCAGGTGGAGCGTGGCAAAGGTGCAAATGCACCCGGGAACTGTCGTGGTGTAGTTTTCATCTTTGGATCCCGTGGTCGCATCATTTTGTCTCTCTTGTTTGTCACATTCATCGGCTTGACAGACTCGGTATTGTGTTAATGTCACTTTTATTTTGAAGCAGCTTTTTGCAATGAAACCATAACTGGTGGTTGTCGAGGCAGGCTGCCATGGCAACAGATTGCATTCAAGAATGATGAGTTTAAAATGAAATTGGAGTCAATAGGCTACCTGATAATGAAACTTTAGACAACTTTTGTTACTTGTGGAAAACAAAATCAAATCTTATGATACACATTTTTGTGCTGTAAGTGCAAATGTGCATTGTTGCAAGTCCAGCTCTTCCTGCTCTTAACAATTATTCCTCAATCATTCAGTAGCTTACATTCAGGGGATGGAAAGTGGGCCTAACTTCATTACAATATTCCTGTATAGCTATTTTGCAAACTTGTACTTTTTTAAGTGTTTCTTGCATTAGAGTTTATTCTTTAACTTGTATACCTTATCTTGGCAGCATTATGCTTATTTACATTATACATTGCATAGGTTACTAAGTTAGAAAATGTGGAAAAAATATAAAAGCTTTCTATCAACTGCATAGCAACCAGCTGATTGAAATATGTCTAGCTGCAATCCTACCACATCAATTTCTCTTACTTCTAATCAAAGTACCTAATTGCATGTAATATCTGCAACCCTTATATGGCCCTTAAATATACTAATATTGATCTTATTATAAACTATTTCAAGTAAATTTTGTCCCAACAAGTTACTTATCATCAATTAAAGGTCCTTACACGCCGACGCAAATATAGAATGCGAAATTGCGAAATATTCAGAGGCGAATTTTGACACGCCTGGCTATGCACATCAAGCCTGATGCGATTTTGCGACTTTCCGGGGGGGAACAAGACAAATCCCGGGGTAGACTTTTCCCAGGGAAAGTCCCGCCTCCTTCGCCTGTGATTGGCTAGAAAAGCTGGAAATATCATCACACGCTCAAGCCAAACGGTCAGCACTTATAACCAATCAGAAGCGAAGGAGGGCGGACCTTCCCTTACCATCCTACAGTGTCCCGAGTGGAAGCGAGAAGACATAAATGGAGTCTACTTCAGCTTCAAGTGATGGCGAATTGGTACGCCTTTTGCTTTCTCAAAAGAAAAAGAAACGTAGCACATGGGTGCATCCAATATTACAAAAACGAAGAGAACTTGGTGAGTTTCACTGCTCGGTTCAGGAGCTGAAACTGTACCACGGTTGCTTCAGAACCTATTTTCACATGTCCGTTGGACAATTTGAAAGTTAAAACAAAGACGTTTCCTAAACTGTTAAAGCACACAGAACATCGTCATATCAGAAACCTGACGCTATGACTCTCCACAAGTTGTCCTTCATGGTGTTACCGTTGTAATGTGTGTGTAAACGATCATAAACAATCAGCAGGTCGGCCATGTTGGATATACTGCCGAATCTGACGTTGCAACAACACGCAATCTAATTGGTCAGAAGTGGACACACAGTATGTGAAACTTTGGAAAAATCGACCGTGATCCGAAAAAATAAATGCTGCACGACAAAAACGGTCCCTGTGTGAAAGGACCTTAAGGCCTTATGTTTCACCTACAAGTCTTGACTTGCAGGGACCGTCTACGAAGTACAGCACTGGCAAATAATTTATCAACTTCACCCTGGATAAGTACAATGTCAGAATCACTGCACACAATAATGTTGATGGTTATATTACAATTGTTAATTTGGGAACATTGGCTCTTATGTAATATAGGGGCCATCCTACTACCTCCACCCTCCTTGCAGGCAGGGAACTACTACTCTCTTTAACTACATTTCCCATAAATTACTTTTTCCCTGGTAGTTTTACTTCTCATTAAACTTAAGTAGAATATGGGCTTTCCATCCCAGCTGATATTAGACTTTATTCGAGAAAATCTCACACGAAATTTGCATCTGCGTGTCCCTCAACAACCGAACAAGGAGGACAAGAGCACTTCACTGTCTCTGAAGTTTAATTTAATGTTGGGGAGGAGTTTTTATGATCTCCATCATGTATGTGGGGTTGAAGGCCAACATGCATTTAATTATATCTTCTGTTGCCATGCACGGTGCATTGCGGGAAAAAAACTAATTACACCGGTCATATGCAAAAGTGGAAATGACATTCAAATTTACTGGCGAGGGTTCCAGCCTGTTAAGCATCAATTTCACGTTTAGTGAGCAGGAAGTGGACATCTATGTTAAACTGCCGGGCCAAACCGATGATTGGTCTTAATGGATGGAGACAATGGCCTCGTTGTGGGGCCCTAAATCTTATCATAACAAATTGGAACAAGGTGGATTTAATGTTTCATATATCATTATGATCATCGATGTTATCATTATTGCATCAAGAATATTATAAGTGATATCAAATGGGAATATTGATGAATAGAGGCGTGATCCTTCACTGCGTAAAAGTCCATGATTGACCTTTTATCGCGTGTTACGAGTTTATCTTAGTCACAGGTGAATGAGGCAAGTTAGAAATCAGTAGGCACATGAGATGACTGGAGACGGTGCTGAGAGTGGAGGAGAGAGGGAGGGAGAGTGAGAGAGGGAGAGAGAGAGAGAGAGAGAGAGAGAGAGAGAGAGAGAGAAGGAGCAGGTCTGCAGTCTGAATCTTGGCGTCGCACAGACCCGAGACGACGCTGTGGCTCAGCGCTGCAACACTGGGAATACATCCATACTGCATATTTCTCTCTATACGCTCAGATCTGTGGCTACTCTTCTCTGTTGGTCGAAAACTTCTCATAACGAGGCGATTTTTCATTGGATCCGGATAACCTCTGTGGCTCTCCATCATTCTTATTATTCGATCCCTTCGCATCTGAGGACGAGTTGAAAATGTGGATTATCGGTACCGCAAATGTTGCCATTAAAGGGAGGTAAATTGAAGAGAGGGACAAATAAGTGCTGTTGGACAAACTGAAGGAGGGATCTCCAGGCTTTTTTTGGTGTTTGTCTGGTGGTATCATTACATATGTGGAGCAGACGAGGGATTTTCGTGATTTTTGACGCGTGCGGGGTTTATCAGTGACCACTTGAATCGCGTCCCCCCTTTTGGCTTTGCCTTCCCTCCCTTTTCCTCCCCCTTTTAGGTGTGAAATCTATCTTCTCAGACAGAGACTCCGAACCCCTCGGTGCCCGCATGACATGGTTCAGTCCAGCTGCGAGATCCGAGCCTTCTCCATGCATTGGGATTTTTCTCAGCGCCGACACCGTGTGAATCTCCCTTTTTTGACCATCTGAGAACTATCGTGCCTGCCAGACCAGAGAAATAAAGCCCCTGCCATGACCGCCGCTTCAAATCGGGACGGAGCAACGGGACTCGCGAGGAGACCGGAATGCGCATGCAGGAAAGGGGACGGAATACGGATTTTTGCCCTAATGAAGGCGGGAGTGCACGCGCACCATTGGAGCCGGGTGCTGTTCTTATATATGGGGCTACTGGCCGCCTCAGTAAAGGGTAAGTCCCCCTCCCTCCCCTCTGCACAGCTGAAGACGTGCAAAATGCAGCAGGCTTACCCCCACTCCACCGCCCACCCTCCCCGTTTCCTGACTGAATGCAAATCAGCATCAGCAACACACACACGCGCGCACTCATCCTAAAGGCGCATTTTTTTTTTTTTACGGATCAACCTTGCTGCGATGTCGCTGTTCCAGCACCCAAAGTTATTAATAGAGGAGAGGTGGCTGGCTGGGTGGCTATTTTGGTGCCAGCATATCCTCTGGAATTGAAACTGAGCTCGTATCTATCCATAACTCTGTTGATGCGTTTCATTAAAGGACTACGTGAGGTGGTTTTATTTTTTTTCCTCCCGAGAAGATGGGTGGATGAAAAGAGGTGTCTTGAGTGAGTGATGTTTCACAGAGGATGGGGAGGGAAGAGGTGCTGCTCGCGTGTGGAAATCAGTTGAGGTGGTCACACGGACGGCTGATTATTATGCTGTTCAGAGTCCAGAGAGGGGAATCGTGTGTGTGTTGGTGTGTGTGTGTGTGGAGAAATGGTGTACTTTACTAACTGTTCCTCTCCAGCTCCCAGCTGATAAAATTACCCACTTGTCCAAGTAAACATCAATGAACACGGTTTGTGAGCCTATTCTCTGGTGTGTGTGCGTGCGTTTTTGGCTGGCATCGTGCGCGCGTGTGTGAGTGTGAGTGTGTGTGTGTGTGTGCAAGGGCTGGGGGTGCAAGCCTAATTAACTGACTCTGGGTTTTCTGTCCTTGATTAATTGCAAATGGAAATTTCGTAACGGGAGCTGGGCATTCAACAGATTATCATTACTATTAATTTACTTTCACTGATGTGTTCCTGAAGAAAGAGACTAACTTACCGGTGCGTGATCTTTTTCTTTTCTTTCCTATACGTGGATATCTATCACGAAAAGCTCGTGGCGTTATTTGAGAGGCCAGGCTTTTCGTGAGGTGGGGAAGAGCCGCAATGATTTTTTTTTTTGCCATCCAGAGCGGCTTCTTTGGCAAAGAAACCTAACCGTTTTATCACTGTCTTGGCTCCGCACCACAGAATGGGCACTATTTTTAGCAAAAGCCAAGAATACTGCCACGGCCACAATATGAATTTGACAGTGAGTCATGGCTCTGTGTTCGCCCACTCATACCTTTTTGGTTGGACAGCACATAATCCACAAGTGAGTGGAAACTGGGCACATTTTCAGCACATTAGGCCGTGTGGTCTCATTCTCTGTAAGTGTGGTTTCAGCTTAAGAGTATTGAAACGTGTCTCCCACCTATTAACTCCCACTTTTTTTTTTTCATCAAGCTTGTGTCATCAACCACCCAGATGGTTAGGGTGGGATGTAGGTTTACTGCACACTCAGTTCAGACAAACCTCGCTTTACTTTCCTGCTGAGTAAATTTCATAGCGGCTGTATTTGACGCTTTGGGTTTTATTTGCGTCCGGGGAGCTTCTTTATAGCACTCCCTCTTGTCGTTTGAGTCTACTTTTGGAGCCAGTAAAGCGACTCTAACTTATTGCACATATTTAAGAAGAGCAGCACAG